TTCTGAACTCTCTTGTACCTGGTCTTCAGAATCCAAAAACAACAAACAAAGTGTTACCATGAGAAGAAGACTTTTCGAAATAAATGGTAAGAAGGTAGGTAGGAAGGAAGGAAGGTAGGTAGGTAGGTAGGTAGGTAGGTAGGTAGGTAGGTAGGTAGGTAGGTAGGTAGGTAGGAAGGAAGGTAGGTAGGTAGGTATGTAGGAAAGTAGGAAGTTTTCAAGCATTTGGGGAAGAACAAGGTGGGTTGAAAAAAGTGAAATAGATCCACTTTTTTTCAATCCACTTTGTACTTTTTTGGATGCAAGAACAACACTTGACTTTTTCAGCTACATCAACAAGACCACTTTTACAGAAGAAGATTAGGAAGGATTTTGGAAGATTGGGTCCGTAGGGGTTAATAGCGAGATACAACTGCTATTAATCCTTATGCACTCATTCTTCAAAATCTAAAAACAACAAACAAAGTGTTACCATGAGAAGAAGACTTTTCGAAATAAATGGTAAGAAGGTAGATAGGAAGGAAGGAAGGAAGGAAGGTAGGTAGGTAGGTAGGAAAGTAGGAAGTTTTCAAGCATTTGGGGAAGAACAAGGTGGGTTGAAAAAAGTGAAATAGATCCACTTTTTTTCAATCCACTTTGTACTTTTTTGGATACAAGAACAACACTTGACTTTTTCAGCTACATCAACAAGACCACTTTTACAGAGGAAGATTAGGAAGGATTTTGGAAGATTGGGTCCATAGGGGTTAATAGCGAGATACAACTGCTATTAATCCTTATGCACTCATTCTTCAAAATCTAAAAACAACAAACAAAGTGTTACCATGAGAAGAAGACTTTTCGAAATAAATGGTAAGAAGGTAGGTAGGAAGGAAGGAAGGAAGGTAGGTAGGTAGGAAAGTAGGAAGTTTTCAAGCATTTGGGGAAGAACAAGGTGGGTTGAAAAAAGTGAAATAGATCCACTTTTTTTCAATCCACTTTGTACAAGAACAACACTTGACTTTTTCAGCTACATCAACAAGACCACTTTTACAGAGGAAGATTAGGAAGGATTTTTCAGCTACATCAACAAGACCACTTTTACAGAAGAAGATT